ATCCATCCATCCATTTGAAATCAGTGGTCTGGCGATAAAAGAGATCAACGCAGAGAAACTGTAGCCATACGCACATGCATCACGACAGAGTACTTCTGAGCCACGAAACCATGAACATCACTGTGAAGGTTTCATCGCCTTATGTTTCAATGTCAACTGCTTTCCGTGGCAGATAACCTCAATCCTCTTCATCAGTGCTCGCCCGCATCGAAAAGTCGTAGCAACACCGACTTGACTAGCATTTTAATTGTCGAGTTGGAAAAGGGTCCCGGATATGAGTGGAAAGTAATCAGGCATCTATTTACTACTGCAGTGCTGCCATTCACTTTGTGATAGAGCAGTCACTCCATTGCACAAAGTCACGCGAGGCAAACGCGCTCCACCTGGTTCCGGTGCACTTGGCTGCCTATTTTCACTCGCACCCATTGCAATGCCATGCTTACCAAAAGCACGCTTCCATTCTTCCAACTCCACTACACTTTCCCATTCGGTTATTCCCTTCTCAATCTCTCGATGATGACCACCAAAGATTTTTACCGTAAGGATATCGTAAATTGCACTGACGCAAACAAGGACCATGTTAACCAACCACCTATCCATACCACAATTCCACCTGCGTGCCGCACTATGTGCAACCGTTTGCCGACGAGGTTTACAAAGATACGCCCTTCACATTTTTTCCACCAATTTTATTAAGTCATTTGATGAGTTTGCCTTACACTGTCACGCATTGCATAAGAAGAGGATCCCCCTTTCCTGTGCACCACTCCTCACGAGTTCATCTATGGTACCAATAGACTCGCACACTAGCCACTGCTGCGAGGCTTTGTCACCGCTGGCCACTTACCATCGGCAGCGTTTCTTCACCACCTATACCGTGATAACGCTGACAGGTGCTGCGCCTTTCCTACCACTTAAAGCAATCGTGCGTTCTCGCCATCATGCGGCACTTGACCACCTGATACTGCTCACCTCACCAACGTGTCGAAATAGTTGTGGAGGGTTCGTGGTTGCCTCAGTCAAGTCCCCCATTCTAACGAAATGCGCTGATTTGCT